ACCAGTAGTGGTTGGTGTTGAGCGACGCCCATCAACCTCTATCGTGAAAGTCCCAACAGCTAAGTGTAAAATGGCAAGCACACATAGTATCTACGTGACAGGGAAGCTGGATGGCCAAAGGTGCAACTTTGTCATAGATTCTGCATCTCAGCAAACCCTTGTGAGTATCAAGGTACTGGATTACAAAGGAGTACCAGAAGCCATACAGAAGCTTTCTGGTGTGACATGACATTCTACAAGATTGTGGGGACCAGTGTGGGTAACTATTGAGTTCATGGGCATAAAGGACAGACACAAAGTATACTTGGTTGACATTGAAGACCAATGCATATTAAGGTTGGACTACTTACTACCGAAAAAGTTTGTAGTTAACTTCGATAAAATTCTGGTAAGTGTTGCTGCATCTGTTGATTTGCATGTCACAGCACTTAAGTCAACTACAGTACCTCCTATGTCAGAGAAGATAATTTTGGGTAGAATAAAAAAACATCCCCAAGGAAGCCCGATGCTCGTGGAAGCAGTGGAAGACCCATCCAGGCCAGCGGATGTGAAGATTGGAAGGTCACTTGTGGCAGGTCATCAAGTAGTACCCATAACAGTGGCTAATTTCTCTAAATGTGAGCAGACACTTAAGGAAGAGGTATTGTTGGGTGTGTGCCAGGAGGTAGAGCCAGTCAATGTTAAGGCAACAAATACAACCATAAAGAAAGGACATCCTCTCCCAGAACATTTAACTGACCTCTATAAGAAGAGCATAGTCCATTTGTGATAATCACAGGGTCTTCAGGTTAGGAAACTTTTGGCGGATTATGCAGATGTCTTTTCAAAAGGAGATCATGACCTCGGTTGCACAGACCTTGTGTAGCACAAAATAAACACAGGCAATCACTGCCCAATATAGATCCCTCCGAGGAGAATAGCTCCAGCAAAGCGACAAGAGATGGAGAAGGTCATGGATGGCCTAATTAAAGAGGGGATACGCGAGAAATCAGATAATCCCCGGTCAGCTCCCGTCGTGTTAGTCCAGAAGACGGATGAGACCCAACATTGCTGTGTGGACTTCAGGGTTCTTAACA